TTGGGGTCTTATTTTAAAAAATATTCCAAGTAATCCCGTTATTTGCCTGGGTTGGTGTCACTCACCCGGCTTTGAAATGCTGGTTCTTTCTTCTTCCTCCTGCACGATCTTGTGTCCCAGTCTGCCGCGGCTTTGTGGCAGCCGCCATGGCTGCCTACCCCCGCCGCCGACTTTGAGGATACCCTCTGGCCTCCGAGGAACTTGCCTGTTCCTCTTGGCCCTCCGAGGTGCTCCTCTTCACCCCCCATCCCTACAAGATGGGGGTTGGTCCGAAGACCGGTCGGACAGCGGTTTGTCAGTTGGGGTTTCCGCGGGCTCGTTAGAGCCCGCTAAGTCCCCGACTGTGGCGCCGTGGCTCCAGACCGGAAGTTCTGGAGGAGATTATGCTAGAAATTAGCCAAATAAAATATGCTGGAAGTCAGCCAAACAATGGAGGGAGTCTGGGAGAAGATTATGCTAGAAACTAGTCAAATACAATATGCTGAAATCAGCCAATAATGTTGGGAGATCAGGAGGAGATAATATTGGGAATAATCTCAAAAGAGTTGATAATTTGGAGAAGAATAAGCAATATGTTCTTGTGATAAAACTGTGTAATATGTGAGATATTAAATTGAAAAGTTCAAAATATTTTGATTTGATAAAAAGGGTCAAATAATTAAGATGTTGATAAAATTGTGTTTTATAAATTTTAACAAAATGGAGTTGTATTGAAATTGAACTTGATAATCTTGGTGATGAAATTGTAAGGTATATAATTAGAGTAAGAGACTAGAATATTGCTAATAACTATTTGGATATTGATGAGATATAGATACAGAGATAATGAGTTAAAATTTAATTTGAAGTTAAAACTGTATTGATATATCAGATTTGTTTAGATGAAAGTGTTAGAATTTTATGTTTAAATTTGTTTTGTTTTTTTTTTGTTTTGTTTTTTCTCTGTTTTAAATTTTTAAAAGATGTAATGGAAAAATGGAATAGAGCGTGTTAAAAGAATGTAAGCATGCTAACCATCTATGACCGGATTGAAATTCTGTTCTTGAAAGTTATATTTTATGTTTATGTTTGGGAAAAAATAAAAAAAATATTTACAAAAAAAAAAAAAACAAACCCAGACCTCATTTTAATAACATGTATGCTATTAACTTGTCCAATCAACTTTCCTCTTTCAGATTTCTTTGTGATGTTAACTCTAGAAGGAGATGTAAGCTAAAGATCGGGGTTCCCTCTTTGAACGAAGAATCCCTTTTGTCTGAATATTCTGATAAATTGTAATAAAATGATCTTCCTGTCTTGGTTTGTCTCATTGGAAAATATACACACTGAGGCACGAACCTAGAAAAGCCATATTTGGTGGAAGGAAGGAAGGAAGGAAGGAAGGAAGGAAGGAAGGAAGGAAGGAAGGAAGGAAGGAAGGAAGGAAGGAAGGAAAGGGTAAGAGGACCCTTGTAGCAATGACTTCTTGAAAAAAAGGACATTGAGGAAGAAACTCAGAATCACCTCTCTTAATTTTGGTAGTATAAGACAGGACAGAGAGAAGTTTGAACAAGTTCTGTTATTCTAAGACAGAGGTCTTCAAACTTGGCAGCTTTAAGACTTGTGGACTTCAACTCCCAGAATTCTCCAGCCAGCATAGCTTTCATGGGAGTTGAAGTCCACAAGTCTTAAAGCTGCCAAGTTTGAAGAACTCTGTTCTAAGACAATACACTTTTCTCAAATCAAGGGTGGCAACAGCAGCTTACCTATTGGCGTGCAGATGACCAACACACTGAAAATGACAACCAGGATCTCTCCCTTCTTCATGTTGCTTCTCCAATTTACTCTGAGTATAATATGTGTCTCTGAATGGCTTCTGCGGTATTTGATTCTGGGACAAATGGAGATGTGAAATATTGGGCTGTCTCATGTGACAGGATGTGATCCTCTTTCAAAATACTTTATGTGGGAGTGAAAATGAAAAACATGGCCTTGTCCAAGTTGCTGCCCTATGGACGTGTTGGACAACAATGTTCAAAGACTCCAAGCCACCAAAACAGTTCCCTCATCCCTAAATGTTAGAACTTTTCTGGAAGCAATATTGAAGGGACTAGGTATGGCTAGTCTAGTGAAAAGAAGAATTAGGTGTGACTTGATAGCAGTGTTCCAATATTTGAGGGGCTGTCATAAAGAAGAGGGGGTCAATTTATTTTCCAAATCACCAGAAGACAAGACAAGAACCAATGGATGGAAATCAAGGAGAGAAGTAACCTGGAATGAAGGAGAAACTTCCTAACAGTGAGGAGCAATTAACCAATGGAACAGAAGTTGCCTTCAGAAGTTGTGGGTGCTTCAACGGTAAAGGGTCTGAAATGGGATAGGGTCTCGTGCTTGACCAGGGAGTTGGACTAGAAGACTTCCAAGGTCTCTCCCAACTATTCTGTTCTGTTCTGTTCCGTTCTGTTCCATTCCATTCTGTATTTTATTATTCTGTTCTGTTCTGTTCTGTTCTGTTCCTATCCCATTTCATTCTTCTGTATTTTATTATTCTATTCTATTCTATTCTGTTCTGTTGCTTTGTCTTCTGTTCCATTCTGTATTTTATTATTCTATTCTATTCCATTCCATATTTTATTATTCTGTTCTGTTCTTTTCCCATTCCATTCTTCTGTATTATATTATTCTATTCTATTCCGTTCCGTTCCATTCCGTTCCGTTCCATTCCATTCCATTCTATTCCATTCCATTCTACTTCACTCCACTCCACTCCACTCCACTCCATTCTACTCCACTCCACTCCACTCCACTCCACCATTCCATTCCATTCCATTCCATTCCATTCCATTCCATTCCATTCATTTCCAAATGCAGTTAGCACGGTTCCTGTTAGAAGCGCCTGGGGATTATGGGGATTTAAAGCAACTCACCTGAGAAGCCTTGAATGGGGGAGTTTATCTGCAGAATGATAAACGTTGCTTTGATGGTTGATGACATGATGAATTAAGGGGCAGCCTTTAATGCATTGAGCAATAATGAGGTTAAGAGGCTTGCGATGCCCAGAGTCCTTTGACAGTGAGTGACTTTGGGCAGCACTTAAATGTTATAAATAAATACAGGTAGTCCTCAACTTATGACCATCATTGAGCCCAAAATTTTTGTTGCTAAGTGAGACAGTTGTTAAGTGAATTTTGTCCCATTTTACAACCTTTCCTGCCGCCGTTGTTCAGTGAATCGCTGCAACTATTAAGTTAGTAACATGGTTGTTAAGTGAATCTGGCTTCCCCGTTGACTTTCCTCACTCCTAGAGAGGCTCTGGGAGCCTCTGGCAAAAAATGTCACTTCCTGTCCAACCAAAAGTTGGAAAACTGGCCATTTTGGGCCTCCGGAGGCTTCTGAGGGGATGGGGAAGGCTGTTTTCGCCCTCCCCAGATGCATAGAAAGGATCTGGAGCCAAGTGAGAAAGAAAAATGGGCCTCCCCCCCCCAGGCCCTCCAGAGTCAGGAAACAGCCTGTTTCCCTACTTCTGGTGGGCCCAGAAGGCCAAAACGTGGAGCTGAGCTGGTGTGCCAGGCGACATGGCTTTGCATGCCGTCTGTGGCATGCATGCCATAGCTTCACCATCACGGTTCTAGCCAATTCCCTGCACAAGACACAGGAGACCTTAGATCATCCTAGATAAATGGTTATCTAATCCTTTCCCAAAAACCTCCAGTGATGCTACACCCACATCTCCAGGAAGCAAGTTGTTCAATCAATTAATCATTCTCACCACCAGGAAATTTCTCCTTAGTTCCAGGTTGAATCTCTCTTTAATGAGTTTCCATCCGTTGCTTCTTTTCCTGTCTTCAAGTGCTTCGCAGAATAAGTTGACCCTCTACCTCTTTGTGGTAGCCTCTGAATCAGAATCAGAATAGAGGTGGAAGGGACCTTGGAGGTCTTCTAGTCCAGCCCCCTGCTCAAGCAGGAGACCTTATACTATTTCAGACAAGGGACTGTCCAGTCTCTTCTTAAAAGCCTCCAGTGATGGAGCACCCACAACTTCTGGTGACAAGCTGTTCCACTGGTTAATGTCATCTAGTAAACTCTCATGTCCTAGAAGGCAGCGATCATGTCACCCCTAATTCTTCTCTTTGTTAGGCTAGATATAACTAGCTCTCTTACCATTCCTTGAAAGATTTATCCTGAAAATCAGGAGTGAAATCCAGCAAGTTCTGACAGGTTCTGGAGAACTGGTAGCGGAAATTTTGAGTAGTTCGGAGAACCAGACCTCTGGCTGGTCCCAGAGTGGGGTAGGAATGGAGATTTTGCAATATCCTTCCCCTGCCATGCCCAGCAAGCCACGCCCAGCAAGCCACACCATGCCCAGCAAGCCACACCCACAGAACCGGTAGTAAAAAAAAATTGAATTTCACCACTGCTGCAAACTTCTTAACGTCTTAGTTGCTCTTCTCTGCACTGTTTCTAGGGTTTCTACTATTACTTCTGTTGAATTTTACAACCCCATTTTACAATGTTAAAACATGATGATTTCAATTCCAAGCTGTGTTTCTCAACGTTAACGCAAAATAACACGAAAGGAAGCAGCTTCGCAGACCGATGCAAATTCGCCAAATGAGGTTTCAATTTCAAACACTTCCCAGCCAAAGGGAGGGTACAATTTTCACATAGTAACAATAATAGGCTATAATAATAGCCTGGATAGCTCAACAGACTAAAAGCCTGTTATTAACATTCAGCTGTCTGCAGTTATCACATGTTCGAATCTCGCCAGGCTCAAGGTCGACTCAGCCTTCCATCCTTTCTAAGGTAGGTAAATTGAGGACCCAGTTATGGGGGCAATAAGCTGACTTTGTATAAATATACAAAAGGATGAAGGCTATTGCTGAGCACATTGTAAGCCGCCCTGAGTCTCCGGAGAAGGGCGGCATATAAATCTAATTTAAAAAAAAAACCTCTACATTGCCAGATGGTTCCGACAAGCTCCAACATGTTCTACAGGTTTTCTTTGAAAATCACCCCAATTATACAAAACAGGCAAACACACACTATATAACATCCTTTGGCAATTGTGCGCTCCTCCCACATGGAATGGCCTTAAATGTGCAACATCTTTGTCGCCGGTGAGAAGTCGCGATCATGTCAGCATAGCTGCCTCTTCCATAGGAGCCTGGCAGCCTTACCCACAATGAAGCGTTTGATACTTCTGCTCCTGCTTATTATGATCTTTTGCACGGAAAGAGGTGAGTGTGGTCCCCGAGAGATTCCTTAGATTAAAGAAACAATGAGAGGGCCTTGAAAATGAACTCAGAAAATGCTCTAGCAGAGGAGTGTCAAACTTGATTTCATTGAGGGCTGCATCAGGGTTGTGTTTGACCTCAGAGGGGGCAGGGGGCGGGGCCAGCTTGATGTCACTCATGTGTTCGGAGACTACAGTTGGTCCAGAACGCAGCCGCGCGAGCTGTCGTGGGTGCACCTAGGTACATCCACATTACACCAATTCTCTGCGAGCTGCACTGGGTCTCTATTGGTCTCCGGCCACAATTCAAGGTGTTGGTTATTACCTTTAAAGCCCTACATGGCTCCAGGCCAGGTTATCTTCGAGACCGCCTTCTGACGCATAGCTCCCAGCGACCGGTAAGATCCCACAGAGTCGGTCTCCTCAGGGTCCTGTCAGTTAAACAATGCCGACTGGCGGGCCCGCGGGGCAGGGCCTTCTCTGTGGCTGCCCTGGCTCTCTGGAACCAGTTACCTCCTGAGGTCCGGACCATCCCCACCCTATTGGCCTTCCGAAAATCTATGAAGACCTGGCTCTTCCGGCAGGCCTGGGGCTGTTGATCTCACTCTTGTGATCTGGCGAGATCCGGCCATGAATGGCGTGAATGAGTTTTTAATGTTTTTAATGTTTTTAATTTTTAAATGTTTTTTATAATGATTTTTTAAAATGTATTGTGAGCCGCCCTGAGTCTTCAGAGAGGGGCAGCATATAAATTGAATTAATTAAATTAAATTAAATGTTGGGGGCACCTGTGGTGGCCAAGTGTTAAGGCAGGATTTCCCTCAGACCCTCCCTCATTCTCATTATAATCTCCTTCCTTCCTTCCTTCCTTCCTTCCTTCCTTCCTTCCTTCCTTCCTTCCTTCCTTCCTTCCTTCCTTCTCTTCTCTTCTCTTCTCTTCTCTTTCCTTCCCTCTTCCTTCTCTTTTCTTCTTCCTTCCCTTCCTTCCTTATTTTTCCTTTCTTGCTCTCTTCCCATCTTCCCTTCTTTTTCTTTGTCATTCCTCTTTCCCTTTCTCCTTTCCTGTCCTTCCTTCTTGGATGCTCAAATGCAAAAGGGGAAAACATTTCTCCTTTTGTTTTGTTTTTAGTTTCTTTTGCTAGCCTTCTGCCAGCGCAAACAGAGCCTGGGGGGCTGTGTGGGGCCCCCTGGGGCCTGTTTTCGGCAGCAACAGCCTCCTGCAGCCCTCTGCCAGTGAGGACAGCTGCAGGAGTCCATTGTGGCCAAAAACAGATCCCAGGAGGACCCCATGCAGCCCTCCCGAGCTCTGTTTTTGCTGGCAGAGGCACCGCGGGCTGGTCCTTTGCTGTTTCCAGAGCAGCCCCATGGGCCAGATTTAAACACCCCATGGATCAAATCCTGCCTGCAGGCCTTGATTTTTGACACCCCCTGTTCTAACAGAACTTGGAGAACATCAAGAACTTCAATGTAACACTTGAAGGAATGTCTATGGAGAATCTCAATCATCCAGATCATGGTTGTCCCAAAATGCTTTTACCAAGAGGCAACTGGACTTTCTTGGGGGGGGGGGGTTCCCCCTTTGAAAACATTTCACTTTCTCGTTCAAGAAGCTTCTTCAGTTCTGAACTGAAGGAGCTGAAAAACTGAAGAAGCTCCTTAGATGAGAAGCATAATGTTTTCAAAGGAAAAAAAAAAAAGCCCAAGAAAATCCACTTCCTTTTGGAAAAAACCCACCTTTGGGACATTTGAAGGAGTGCTAAAGGAGAAGATGCAACATCACAAACAGCTTTGGGGTCACATCTTGCCTCTTTGTCTTTTGCAATGTCCGTGCAAATGAGTTGTTAGCTCCAGAAATATACTACTGGTGTATGTATCTGTTCATTCGAAGCTTCTGAACTTTTTCCCACAGAGAATCAGGCAAGGGAAGCTGGATGACATAATTTTGGCTACTTCTGGAATTTTCCAGGCCAACCATGACTTTCCTCCTTACAATTCTCTAACTAGCAACACTGGAATTGAGCTTAAGGTGGTTCTATCCCAGTTGTAGTTCAGCATTCAATACCATCATTCCAGACACTTTTCTAACTAAGCTAAACCAGCTACAGGTACCTGAACGCACTTGCAAGTGGATCATAAGCTTTCTAACAGACAGGAAGCATCAGGTGAAGCTAAGCAGAATCACATCAGATACCAGTAAAATTAGCACAGGGGCCCCTCAAGGCTGTGTGCTCTCTCCACTTCTCTTCTCTCTGTATACCAATGATTGCATCTCTAACGATCCATCTGTTGACCTACTGAAGTTCACAGATGACACAACAGTGATCGGTCTCATTCGAAGCAATGATGAATCCGCATACAGACGGGAGGTTGAACAACTAGCCTCGTGGTGTGACCGGAACAATCTAGAACTGAACACACTCAAAACCGTAGAAATGGTGGTAGACTTTAGGAGAAACCCTTCCATACTTCCACCTCTCACAATACTAGACAACACAGTATCAACAGTAGAGACCTTCAAATTTCTAGATTCTACCATATCTCATGACCTAAAATGGACACCCAACATCAAAAACTTATCAAAAAAGCACAATGAAGAATGTTCTTTCTGCGCCAACTCAGAAAGCTCAAACTGCCCAAGGAACTGCTGATCCAGTTCTACAGAGGAATTATTGAGTCTGTCATCTGCACCTCTATCACTGTCTGGTTTGGTTCTGCCACCCAACAAGACAGACACAGACTTCAGAACATAATTAGAAATGCAGAAAAAACAATGACTACCAGCCTGCCTTCCATTGAAGACCTGTATACTGCAGGAGTCAAAAAGAGGGCTGTGAAAATATTTACAAACCCCTCGCATCCCGGACATAAATTGTTTCAACTCCTACCCTTGAAACGAGGCTATAGAGGATTGCACTCCAGAACAACTAGAGATAAGAACAGTTTTTCTGAAATCACTCTGCTAAACAAATAATTCCCTCAACACTGTCAAACTAGTTACTAAGAATGCATTACTATTAATCTTCTCATCGTTCTTATCACCCATCTCCTCCCACTTATGACTGTATGACTGTAACCTTGTTGCTTGTATCCTTAAGAATTATATTGACTGTTTCCCTATGACTATTATTAAGTGTTTTGTAACTTATGATTCTTGACAACTGTATCTTTTCTTTTATGGACTCTGAGAGCGTATGCACCAAAGACAAATTCCTTGTGTGTCCAATCACACTTGGCCAATAAAGAATTCTATTCTATTCTATTCTATTCTATTCTATTCTATTCTATTCTATTCTATTCTATTCTATTCTATTCTATTCTATTTCTATTCTACTCTACTCTACATTCTACATTCTACATTCTACATTCTATTCTATTCTATTCTATTCTATTCTATTCTATTCTATTCTATTCTATTCTATTTCTATTCTATTCTACTCTACATTCTACATTCTACATTCTACATTCTACATTCTATTC